CAACTGGAACACTACAACTTTTGCATGAAACCTTTTTTTTCGAATGCTTTGTTTTCGAGAAAACACTATCCGAGGCTTTTCTGTCACTCTGTTTAATAAAGTTTGTCGTCTAAACAGATTTAGATTGATTATATACGTTTCTTAAAAGCACGAAATTATTTTTAATTATAAATTTGATATTTCGGTTTAGATGATATATGTAAGTATGCGTAAGTCAACTCTTTGATCAGTAATGCAGCGATCCATTGAAATACTCTTGTATTATAAAATAAGAAAGCGTGTTTCGAAAGGTCTGTTCACCTACCTGAATGAAATGGCTGCATTCCTCTTGGAGAGAAGTCATTTTCCGGATATTAACACGTATGTACAACGAAAACAAAACCACTTTAATAGATTAGAAATTTCCACTTTAACAAAATCCGTGTATATATTCACTTCATTCGATTTTATGTACTTTTGCAGGATTTATTAGACAAGAATATGCTCTATTTATCGATAAAGAGTACGCAGTGATACGTTTACTATGTCGATAACAGATTAAAAATATTGTTCACGTTATAGTAGCACGTAAAAACTGAATTCACTTCAAGATCAACCGTTATCGCTATCTATTAATGTTATCGATACTGATGACAATATTTATTTGGCTGCAAAGTCATTTGGATTGTTTTGTAATTTCTCTAATGAAAGCGCGTACCAAAACTGACTTGTTTAATCATGTGACATTGTTATATCAGCGCCGCAAGTGAGATTCCCGTTTATTAGATTTGGAATGTACTTAATGCCTTACGAGAGATATTTGTTTTTAGATCTGAGTAGTAAATTACCCGTTATACGTTATCTAGTGAGAAATGACAATGGAATCAATGTTGAATCGACGTAGAAGAATTAGATGATTTCGACGTCGATCGATATTGATGTTTTGACTGACAATGAGTATTGTTGTATGTGATTGTGAGATTTTAGCTTGAATCAAATTTATAATTTTACTTTCTTAAATTCAAATATTTACCTTTTATTATAGGGATATTTAATTCTCTGTCAAAAATTATTATTCTAAAATTACTCCTCGGAAAATCTATTGTACCACAATTAAAAATTAAAATGATTACAGTCTTAACTAACCAAGTTAAAATATAAACAAATTCTATCAATTTAAAAAGTAAAACCTAAGTGATATTATCTTTGTTACTTAACTCTAATGATATGTATTATTTGTATAAAAGATTTGATGGCAACAACTAACGCCAAATTAAATTCCATAAAATTTTATATATCATTTGTGTAAAAGATTTGATATCAATTGTGGTGCCAAGTTAAGTACCAACCATATCAAATTAAATAAAGAGTATAATTTAAGTGGTACTATCTTTAACTTTGGTACAATAAAACCTAATAAAATATATGGGAGTTCTACGTCAATCGGATCACCTGCGTGTTCAAAAATCAGCGCAATGAAAATAAGCATTCAAGCTCTCAAATTATTCATATGTGCATGTACTTTCGAAAGAAATGTGCCGTTTTGAGAAATCTAATATGGCAGATCCAATATGGCACCGAGAAGTGATGAACATCATATGCAAATGTAAAATTTTGTTGCTTAAACTATTGTACTGATCCCCAACCCAATGGGGACAAAAATGTTTGAAAAAACGTTTCTTTAAACATTTTTGAAAACATTAAAAAAACATTTTTAAAAACATTTAAAATAACGAGAAAAATCTCCTTTTTTTCATTAAAAAAACGTTAATTCAAATGTTAAAAAAACGTTTGTTTAATGCTAAAAAACATTTCTTTAATATTTCAAAATGTTTTTTTAATGTTAAAAAAACGTTTTTTAAGATTTGACAAAAATATTTTTGTAATGATAAAAGTAACATTTAAAATAACAAAAAAAGTCTCCTTTTTTTATTTAAAAAAAACGTTTAAATAAGGTTTTTTTAATGTTAAAATTATTTGAACAAAATTAGAAAAATATTCTGTACAACGCAGAATATTTTTTTTAATTTATTATTTTTTATTGATAGTACATTTAATCTTAGACAACCAATTTTATTACTTAACAATAATTTTTAATTATATTTTTATTTTTTTTTACTCACCGGGTTTTGAACTTGGAATCTCAGAGTTATACCTTATCCATTACGCCACTTATAATTATCGATGGACACAGTTCTTATTGTTCATAAATATACTTAACGCAATTTTATTAGGTTAACTTCTCTTCCATGTTTATGTTTTTATTCCGACCCGTTTTTTATTAATTTGAATTTTAGAAAATAATAAAATTTTTTAAATCTTTTTATATTAAACGTCAAATAAACATTAAATAAATGTTTTTTTAACATATTTTAAATAAATAAATAACGCAAAATAAACGTCAAACAAACGTCAAAAAAATATTCCTTCGAAACATTATTTCAAACGAAAATTTAAAAACGAACGTTTTAATAAACGTTAAACAAACATTTAAGAATATTCCATTGAATCATTACTTCAAACGAAAAATTAATGTAAAACGAACATTTAATAAATGTTAAATAAACGTTTAAAAAATCTTATTTTGAAAACGAATCATAAAACGTAAAATTCATTACGAATAAAAGTTTAAAAAACATTTCTTCTCCATTGAGACATAATGGTCCAACATGAAATAAATGTTTAAAAAATGTTTCTTCAAGCCATTATTTTAAATAAACAATTGATGTAAAAAACACATTTAATAAACGTTAAATAAGCATTTAAAAAATATTTTTTTCAAAATACTGTTTTAAATGAGTAATTAATATAAAACAAACATTTAATTAACGTTAAATAAACATTTAAAAAATGTTATTTCCAAACATTATTTTAAACAAAAAATTAGTGTAAAATTTACTAAATTTAATAAATGTTAAATAAACGTTTAAAAAATATTTCTTCCAAATATCATTTCAAATGAATAATTGATGTAAAATAAACATTTAATTAACGTTAAATAAACATTTAAAAATGTTTTTTTCATCGTTATTTGAAGTAAAAAGTTAATGTAAAACAAATGCTTAATATACGTTTAATAAACGTTTAAAAAATGTTTTTTGGACAGTTATTTCAAACAAAAAATTAATGTAAAACAATCATTTAATAAATACATTTATTAAATAAACGTTTAAAATATATTTTTTCCAAATATCATTTCAAATAAATAATTGATGTAAAATAAATGATGTTTAATTAACGTTAAATAAACATTTAAAACTTGTATCGCCACGGCGATTTATAAGTCGACAGTGTGATAAATTTTTTATGAAATTCACGCATACATTTCCCGATACATATACCGTACACGCACACAACACTGTCTATAAGCACAGCATTTCGGTGAAATAATAGAGACATTTAAATACCTCTGCTATTTCTTTTGGGTCGCACAAATAATTTTCTTGCAAACTGTGTAATTCATCTTAAACGAAATGTTAAAATAATTTTATAACCATGAACTTTATATTTTAACTATTGCCTTCCGCAGTAAACGGTTTAATAAACAGTAATGATCTGCGGAAATAATATTTTTAGTAAGAAAGCTTTCAAACAGAACGTGGAATGAGCGAACAATTCGCGAATTAAACGAAGAGCACAGTCTCTTGTATAACGCATAACATATAAGACATAAGAAATTCCAATTATCTTTATTTCATGGAAAAGAAGGGAACAAAGGATTTTAATTGATACATTTTCTTATGCATTTTCTTACGCATTTTCTTATTTACGCATTACGTGTTTTGCGTAGAGAGTAGGGATTCGACCATGAGACTCCGAAAAGACAAGTCAGGTAGTGTTGAGAAAAAAATAATTTATTAACAATCGCGAGTCTACAATAATTTTATTTTATAACCATCGATTATAATCCTATAAACTCTAAATGTAATAGACATTGTCTATTACAAATATCAAGACATATCAATGTTTTGATATTTGTAATAGAGGGAATCTACTTTAGCAAGACAATCTCTTTTATTAATTAGTATGGTTCAGCTTCTTATTTATCGTTTTTTTTCCATTAAAATTCAACATAACTTCAGTTTTGTCAATCTGTGAGTGACTTATCCTCAATGTGATTTTATCTTTTTTAATATTGCTGAGGAGGACTCCAAAAAGAATTGAAACGTTCAAATATAATAAAGGAATCATCGTATAATTGTCTGAGTAAATATTTTCGATTACAAAATTTTGCGCTTACATATCTGCGCTGACTCTCATTAACCTGCTTTTAATGCTATGTTAACGTTTTTTTTTGTTAAAGAAGATATTTAAAAAGTGCAAGAGATCCCTTATATCGTATACTGAAAGATGTGCATTATTATTCAGTATGACAAATTCTTATCAGTATGACAAATTCATCAGCGTATTAAATACTACAATTAACAAGAAATTTCGAGTACGATAAATTCTTTAAGTTATCACATAATTAGATCGGTAATTAAGGCATTGGTCATCCATGAACGAGTTTATATTTTACAATAATCTATGTGACGCGGTTAGCTATTATTGCAAAATATTTTTACTTTATTCTTTTCTTGATAACGTTACTCGAAAGCGTTAAACAATTGCATACACATAAAATATGCACAAAAAAAGTGGATCAGTTCGAGCATTACTTTCGACGATGCAATAAGTCTAATTGAAAACTTTGGGATAATTATTATTTTTAATTAGAAGTTCGAAGATTATTTAACAAAACACACATACTACATTGTCTATAAAATCGTATTTTTAAGTGTGCACATTATAATGAATAACAGTTAATACTTTGGAATACACAGTTAAACATATGAAAGTGTCAGTTTTGAAGTGCCTTAAACGCAATTTGGAATCACAACTTTTATTCTTAATAAACTATTCGAGAATTGTCTAATAAATTATTTATTTTATGGATTATAATGTAATTAGGGCATAAATAATAATAGAAATATTTTGTGTTTTTCGAAAAATTTTTACGAAGTAGTGACAATACAGTAAATATAAAAATGTATCTACAATTGAATGTGCGAAGAGAAGTGCTTTTTTTGGTACGTAATCCATTTAAACATGTTCAACAAAAAATAATAAGTATTTAAACATATTTAATAAAAAGAAAAAAGCGAAGATTTTTTTTTTTTAATTTTAATGTAAGTTGAGACAAAATTTCTATGAAAGAATTTTTTATTAAAATGCCGTGAGATTAAACTTCTAAAATTTTAAATAAGAAAGAGAGTGATGCATTTTGACATAACAAAAATAAAGACAATAATAACGTCATATTTAATCTAATTTCTATGCATATAATTTGTCGTAGCTTCTACACATCATTATTTGCAACTTGACTCAAATTAATACAGGAGCCGCTATGGGATACTCCTCTATAGTACTTCCGATATTGACAAGTAATATGTCATCGATAACTTTAAATGAAATGGAAGTACCTTTATTTGGTAATTATTTTAACACAATTTCAGTATTATTTATTTACTACAAAATATTAACTTTTTATTTATCACAAAATATTATTTTATTAACAGTAATAACCGTTATTACACTCATTGTTAGTCTCTGCCATACTCAATATTTGAATTATAACTGCTAATAATAAGAATAAATAATCTTGGTACATGCTTGTATTGTTATATTTATATGTAAACACAAATAGAAAAAATGATAAAGTATTGTCATACGTATCACATGCATACTTGTAAAAAATGATGAAATATTTTTATAAAATGAAAAAATATTGTTGTAAAATGCACTCATTTGCACATAATATAAGAAAAATTTTTGTCTAGTTTCTATTGTATCTATCACCCAAATCATCGGTTGTCTTTTATGCCTTATTACCATGAACTATGGAAGACGATGTACTATGATAGTATGCGGCATAAACTTTTCTTTAGGATGGATCTTGATTGCGAGTAGTTATAATGTGATACAGCTCTTTATCGGTAGAGCACTAACAGGTGAGAAATTCATGCAATTGTGATTATATAATAGCTTAAAAAAATTATGGACAAATTTTGGACAAAAATTGACCCACTTTGACTGACGATAACTTTGCGAAAAATTATTGCAGAATAACGATTTTTTTTTTAATTAAAGCTTGAAATCTCTACTTTAAAACGTTATGGCCAGATTTTAAGTTTAATCCACCCTTATCACTGCAACTCTCAAAATATGAAAATATATGTTTGTCATATTGAAAATTGCAAAGTTGACGGAATATACGAACTTGTAAAATTTTTTGTAGAATACTGTTTACAGCAGCATAAAGTTTGAACTTTAATTAAACAAAAAAAAATTCGAGCTGCTGCGCGATTTTTTTTCGTAAAATTACAGTACTTTAAAACAGTACTTTACCTTACATTTTTTACATATACTACCGACATTACTATCTGCATTACTGGATATGCACCGCGACGAGGTTATTGGATAGGTTTTGCACATCGTGTTTCTGCGTGTGTGTAAATTTCAGTACACGTGTTGCTTTCGCGTTGCTCGAGTCGCTTGCAGTCGATTCCTCATATATATAGTAATGACATTTCGCAAAAAGAAATTAGAGTCTGCATTACCTTAATAAAAATAAAAAATGAGAGCGTAAGTCGAATATAATGAGAGAGTAATATTATAGAAACGTAAACGAAACTTCTAGGAGGCAAAAATTAAAATATCAAAATGTGAAAGAAGTGTAAATGTTTCTCTAACATTTCATTATTCCAATTTTCGCCTTCTAGAAGTTTTACGCTTCTGTTACTCTTCCATTACATCCGATTTACGTTTCAATTTTTATTTTCATCAGGATAGTACATAACGAATTTCTTTCACATATATATTGTACTACTGTTATTTCTGATAGAAATGACAGAACAACAAGATCGATGCATTGATTTGCGATGATTTCTCCTCACACCATTGCAGAGCCAACCTTGAATGCCCTTACAGAAGCAACGCATGATCTGTCATTCCAACGATATCAAACTCAAATTCATCTATTAGAATTGAATAAACAAAATCGCGATTCATCAGTGAAGAGCACATTTTGCCATTGTTCAGCGAATATGAGTTGCTGCATACTTTGAACTAGCACATCGATATCCAACCCCAGCAAACATAATGGATTAAAATGGATTGAAATTTTTTTCTATCCAAATGCGTATTTTAAATAGCGAATACTTTTTTCGGATTTAATTGGATTCAATTGGACGCAATTGGATTGAAAAACTGCATTTCCTATTCAAAACTTTCAATGGAACAGTATTCACAATTGTGTGTATGCACAGAGAAAAAGCTAATATTATTTTTAGATTGAAAGGCATAGAGATATGATCCATGCAATTCCTATAAACGAATAAAAATCAGAATTGAAAAGCATTCATTTTAACATTCGTGAATCAATTCTAAAAGTCCATTTCAATTCATTTCAATCCATTGTCGTTTACTGGGATATTTAATATTGGTACAGATCAACGATCCCGGGATTTTCAATCTGCCGCATGCAAATGATTTCTTACCGTTTGATGACTAATTTGACGGTCTGACTGCTTCCACAATTCGTCGAGCTGTGGTCACTGGGTTTCGCACATAAAATTTACAATGGCGCGATCTTCTCGTGCAGTCGTGATATGTCTTCGACCTTGTCCTCGTCGTGAATACAAATTTATCGTTTGTCGATAATAAGACCAAATGCGAGAAACTTCTGATTGATTTATACCAAGTTGTCTTGTAATGTAAGATTGAGAGAAACCTTCTCTCATAAGCGCAATAATCTATGCACGTTAAATTTGATTTAGTCTCAGCAAACGAGAATGGATTGAAATTAATTGAAATGGATTCAGATTTTCAGAAATATTGATTCACAAATGTTAAAATGAATGCTGTTCAATCCTGAATGCATTTCTATTCATTTATAGGAATTGCATGGAGCATATCTCTATGCTTTTCAATCTAAAAATAATATCAGCTTTTTCTGTGCACAACATACACATTGTGAATACTGTTCAATTCAAAATTTTAAATAGGAAATGCAGTTTTGCAATCCAATTGCATCCAATTGAATCTAATTGAATCCAATTGAATTAATCCAAAAAAAAGTATTCGCCATTTATATGTGTATTTAAAATACACATTCGGATAAAAAAAAATTTCAATCCATTTTAATCCATTCTCGTTTGCTGGTAGTCGAATTTTGAAAATCTCACACTTTCTTCTCAAAAGGAAAACTAAGCAATACGTTCTTTGGAACAATACGAAAAGTACAATACGAAAATGTTTCCAAAATGAACTAACTGTACAAAGATACGGAACATTTCTAACATATTTGACAATAGGATAGGCAAGTTTTAACTCACTATGTGTTAGTGCGTATACGTATGTGATGTGCATATGTGTGTGTGGTAAAGGAATCAGGGAAGGGGAAGTGCCTCACAGACGTTGGGGGAAGCGCGTCATCGAAGTCCATGGTAGAGAGGGAAGGATTCGCTCCTTCTCTCTCACCGCGATCTCTCTTTAACCTATTGTCCTCTCTCTCCTACCCATTCTAGGAGATGCTGTTCTCTCTCTTCCACCCATTGCATTCCTATACTTCTTATTTACTTCGAAAATTTTCCAGGATTAAAGTATACACATTAATACGTTTCAATGAAGAAGAGAAGTTGAGAACGACAAAAAAATTTCGAAATAAAAATTTTCTTTATCACTTTTTAATAATCTAATATCGTTCCAGAGCTGTCACGTCGTGATTTACTTCATATAAAAACTGTGCAATTTATACTTATGAAATAATATTCCACAGATTAGTAGTTTGCATGAAGAAATAAATTATAGTCAAATAAAATTGGACTACACATCTAATTAAAACGTTATTGTTATACGAAAATTTATGTGTATGTGTGCGTGAGAGAGGTTGATAATAGTAATTGGTAGTAGTATGTAGTAATGTGTCAGTGATTCATAAATTGTCTGTGTAAGTTATTTCCAATATGTATCGTCTTTAAGATCCCTTTAATTTCGACCGTAGCGGGTGTGAAGTTAAATTTATGACAATACATGCTTTATTATTAATTGACGTTACGTGCACTACTAATAGTAAAATAATAGTAATATCATTAATTTAATCCAGATCGTTCAAATCCGAAAGAATCGAAAACTTTATAATATTCTTTACTGCGAGTGAATATGTATATACTCGACAGAAAGGAAAGGTTGCAACAATTTTTTTTCGATGAGTCTTGTTCACCGCGCGATTGGTTCTTACTTAGTCTATCCAGTTACGTTCAATCGCTTTATAAGCAAGACACAATGAATTCCAAAATTCATCGATATAGTATCGCAATCTTTCTGATGAGTGTACATAAACGAAAGAAAGATACATTGTTATCATTATTCTTTTGATCGATTTATTGTGCCTGAAATCTAGAAGATTACTCATTAATTAATTAAATTATTGAAAGAATATAATATGCAAGTTTTATCAATTTTGTGACCAGAGTTTCTATTAATGTGAAAAAGGAGAAATAGAATTTTCTCCAAGCTGGCTGTTTGCTTAATAATCAGACAAATAAGATTAATTCGTATTAATTAGAAATGCTTTGCAAATTTTCAGGAATTGCCATGGGTCTTACCTCATCTTCTATTGAAATTTATTTAGCAGAAATCTCTATACCTTCATGGAGAGAAATAATTACAACTACTCCGAATACATCACTTTCTATTGGAGTTCTAGTCGTCTATTGTCTAGGATTTGTTGCACAGGTAAGAATATTATGTTGCTTCCAATAATTTTATAGATATAAAAAAGTAAGAGATTTTGATAACGAGTAAGTATGTTGTCAATTAAAAAGTTTAATTAATTACATGCATTATAATTTTACCTGATATAAAATAATGGATGTGTTAAAACCCGTTCCTAAATGTTTATGTATCTTCATAAAAATTAAAACAGTTACAAACTAATACATATTAACTAATACATATTAATTTATACAGTTATATTATACTTCATTAAACAAATTTATATTATTTTAGAACAATTGGAGACTGATAGCAGCATTTTTTATCATACTTTCGATATTGTTTCTGTTATGCAATATTTTTTTCATCCATGAAAGTCCTGAGTGGTTGCTTTTAAAAAACAGAATGGAGGCAGCTCGGATCTCTCTACTTCGAATCCGTGGTCTGCGTCAGGAAACGATAGAGTTCCAAAAAGAATTTGCCGAAATGAGGAATTGCAATAAAATGGCAAATAATCATGAAATGCCAAGAAATTGTCAACCAGATATCGTTTTAAATATAGAGGCCGAAAAGGGGTCATCTTTAAACTGGAATATGAGAAATAAGTTCAAGCATATCCAAAGAACAATACTTTTACCAGAAGTATGGAAGCCTTTTGTGATATTAAATCTCTACTTTCTTTGGCAACAATTTAGTGGATTATATGTGATTATTATTTATGCTGTCGATATGATTAAGAGAATCGATATCACAATAGACCCCTTCTTCATCACAGTCATAGTAGGAGTAGTTCAATTAATAGGCAATATGGTAACTACATTTTGCAGCATGAGGTAACTATTTCCTTTGTTATATTTTTTTATATACAGTTCGCAAACGTCATATGATATAATATATTTATGTTATGCAAAAATGCATAAAAGGCAATATCAATTGCAATAAGAATTATTAATAATAGAAATTGCATCGTTGAGAATAAGAATAAGCGCGGTTTTTATGTAATAAGTAATTTTATTGATTTTAAACTTAATGAATATTATTAGTTGGATATTTTTTATTAAGACTTTTGTGATTAATCCGTAGGTCATGTTATTACAATACAATGATTGTCAAACATTCATTCAGGGTTGGAAACGTTATTTCATAAAAGTAACACATTTCTATTACTGTTACTTTTTGTAAAATGTAACTCGTTACTAATTTAAAAATGTAATGCGTGACCGTTATCTTTACTGAAATTAATAACGAACAAGGTTGGCAAATAACTTGTTACTTCGAAATATCATCCATATCATTAAAATTATACTTTTTTGATAACGAATGGATAACAATGTTACATTTTCTTCTAATAATGAATAACGTTCATGGTAACACAGTTACATTTTTGAGATAATGGTAACAATTTCACTAGCTACTTTTATCATTACTTTTAGTCACGTGAAAGGTTTAGTCATATATATATATATATATATATATATATACATATATACGATTAGAGCGTACATATTGTATATACATATATTATATACATATATACAAAGTGTCTGATAAAAAGGTCAAGTTTTTCTCGGAAACGATTAGAAAGGAGAAAGATAATTGTTTGTCGACTTATAGTCGACTTTTGGCTCCAAAGTTGACATGTAGTTGACTGTTGAAAGTCAACTTAAAATCGACTGATCGATTCCCAGTTGACTTAAAGTCGACTTTCAACAATCGACTATGAGTCAACTTTGAGTTGATTATTTGCTTATTAGTCGACTATATTTTAGTCAACTATCAATTAATTTGTAAACTAAAAGTAACAAAAGCTCTATTTTCCACGCACGCACGCGCGCATGCACGCACGCACACGAAATATTTTATAAAAGGCCAAAAAATTAATGAACAATTCAATATTATGAAAAATTATATTTCAATGTTAAATAATTATTATATTGTACGCGTCTTGAACTTCACAGTTTTTATAATTTTGAGCTATATACATATATATGATCATTTATAAAATAATAATAATAGCTACACTCAAAAAGTAAGTCATTGAAAATAGGACTACATCTAAAACTTCATTAATGAATATAATTCTGGCACAAATCTGGTACAAAAATATATAATCTTTAATTTTTTAGCTGCAACTCCTTAGCAAAAAAATCACCCCTTGCTCTTTTCACGCAAGTGAGAACTATGTTCCAGAATAGGAAAAGAAATAATTTTTTGACGGAAAATTATCTGCTGATTTAGGAGCTCGCGAAATACGCACAAACCGACTTTTGAGCTGCAATCCCTTAGCAGAAAAACCACCTTCTGTCCTTTTCATTCAAACCAATTCATATCCTTAACTTTACAATGGATTTAATGTGCGATTGTTGATTCATACCGTTTTAAACATTATTACATAATTGTCGATCTGTTTTAGACATAGTATGTTATAAAAAAGTTCTTTCCAATGAATATAAGATTTATGAAAGAAAATGGAGGCTGATCGTAGTACATAGATTTGCATTTTCATCTTGAATATACAGATTTGTATTTTTACCTTAAAGTTATTATATTATATATCAAACTATTAGGTGTTGGAATTAATTCGTAGCGTTTTTTAATGAAAGAATGTTATTTATTTCACATGAGCATTAAAAAATACATTAATGAAAGTACTTCCCATCACTTGTAAAACGCTACGAATTAATTCCAACACCTAATATATATTTTCTATTTTATTATTCAATTTGATAAAAATTTTGTGAGTTGAAATTTGTATCAAATTTTTAGTTAATTTTTCGTTAAACATATTAATATTACATTTTGAATATCTCATAAATGCTTGTTATATCAACTTATGTACATATATTGTATATTTCTGCTGTGCAAACAATCGAGCATTATTATTACATTTAATTTTTTTTCTAGCCAATTAAAAATAATGCACTGTATTGAAAAGCTATAAAAATAATAAGAGATTAAATTTAATTAATAAAGTAATGTCTGAATTTGTTACCGTTATTGTAAAAATATAAAAACGTTACCGTTACTGATATACAGGTATATAGATAGAAAGAAAGTAATGATTGCTACCGAAAAAAGTAATGAAAGCGGTAATGGCAGTAATGCATTAGTTTCAACTCTGCATTTATTATAATACAATAGATATAGATATATTTCGCACTGAAAATGTTTCGTGAAAATTTTATAATAAATATTTTTTTAATTTTAGGATTGGTCGTCGAACTATTTCAATTGTATCCGGTATCGGTGTATCAATTTCTTTGAGCGCTTTAACAATGTATCTACAATTTTTTGAGGACACCGGTGCTGCGGTTGTACCTCTTGTTTGCATCCTTTTCTATGTGGTAAGGAAATAAGATTTTCAAAAAATTTATAATTTGTTTAAGAAACATTTTAAGAAAGTTATAATTATGATAATGATGTGATATAAGTTTAACTCCAATATAGAGATTGAATTTTGAATTTTGTTAACTTCTTGATATTATAACTTTTTCAAAGAGGTTCTTGAAAACATTTATTAATATATCTACTATAGCTAGAATTCACAATTATTCGATAAATCGTAGGGATTCGGATCTTTCGGATTTCTTATGGTGCCTTGGTCCATGATTGGAGAATTATATCCTACTAAGTACATAAATGTTCTCGGGTCACTTACCACTACTATCGCCAATTCATATAACTGCATCATCGTACAATTATATCCAGTGATGGTAACGCAAAACAGAAATGCCACCTTTTACTTTTACTGTATAATATCCATTATTGGAACTTTTTTTGTAATGGTGGCGTTACCGGAGACACGAGGGAAGACAAGAGCTCAGATAGAAGAAACTTTTAAAAAGAAATTGCAGATAGTAGAAATAGTAGAAACCTTTAAGAAAATTGAAAATGTATACTAAATAATTGAAGCATCGAACGGTAAAACATGGCTAAATCCATTCGATATAGAATGCAAGAATTCATATAAATGTGATAATTTTTAGTATATTTTTTAGAAAATAAATAATTAACAAAGGGGGGAGGAAGAGAGAGAGAGAGAGAGAGAGAGAGAGAGAGAGAGAAAGACTCATCATATTAGAGCGCAGATGAAGAAATTAGAACTGAATCTACGTGCCCTCTAGAGTACTCAGAAAGAAGCTATTAGATTGCTGATAGATTGCTCACAGGGTATATATTACAACCGAGGTATGAGAGAAAAAAATACATTATGCTTGAAAATATCTTAATACTTATAATTATACCTTATAATTATACTAAATAAATCATATACATATAAAATTTGTGTTTATATTATGTTTATATTGTTCTATTTCTATTAAACAACATAATATATTTATAACTTATATATTATACCTTTTTACTTGTTATTATTTTTTATTGTACTAAAATTTAAAAAATAATAGCAAAAATCTCAATTTTTATTTAAGTACTTTAAGAATTCAAAATGATTTAATTAAAGTTTTATTGTGTTATGAAGGTCAATCGTTAAATTATATAAATAAATTCCGTTTATAATTTATATAATATAATCTCTCTGCATTTC